AAAAACCACATTTAAAAACATTTAAAACTTATTTTAAAATTTTAATTTTGTCCTTTTTCACAATGAATTCATTTTATTTTGTTTACAGTCTGAATTTTATTTTATTTTTTTAAATTTTTTATACTATTCAGCTAAAAGCCATGGAAGTATTTTATTAAACCCACATTCGTAATCTGTGTCCTCACATCCTTCAGTTTGATTTGAATTTTGACCCTTTCAGCCCTCCATACTCACATCTGAAGTATTTTGCCTTCAGTGAGCTTCTTGTCTTTTCATGGAAAACCGAACCAGCTCAGCAGGCCACGCCCCCTGCCTCACCTGGTGAATAGCTGAGCACCCGGACGTCCGGCTCCTCCAGTGCCAGCACCTGGAACATCATGTCCCGGGCAGCCTTCCCAGTGCAGTAGAGCGCCCAGGATGGGAAAGGCTTGATGGCGCAGAGTGAGCTGATGTTCACCACGGTGCGCCTCAGACCTGGGCGCTGCGGGAATGCCTGCAGCACCCGGGCGGTGAGGCACCAGGCGGAGCTCACGTTAAGCGACAGGTACGAGTCCACCTCGGCGAGGTCGCTGAAACTCACAGCGAAGCGTGACACGTCACCCAGAGAGGCTGGAGGAGGTGAGGTAATGAAGGTCAGAGGTGAAACCAGCATGAATCACAGAGGTTTAAAGAGTTCATGCATTAAAACATCAGGAAGCAGAAACATTAAAATTCATTTGGATTATTTAACAAAATCAATAACAACATGTTCAAAAAAAAAGTGATTAGGAAGAAGCAAAAACTTACAGAATCCCCCCAACATTCCACCCTTTAGCATCCAGTAATCATAACAGGGACTTGATAAAAGACTATGAAGAGGGGGTTTAAAAGCAATCAATTTTGAAATAATGAATGGCATATTAAAGATTAATTGGCTCCGATCTTTCTTAAAAAATGATAATGAGATCTGGTTCTTGATACCATCTCTTATTTTCAACAAAGTTGGGGGGATCCAATTCCTTTTAGTATGTGATTTTGAAATGTCTAAACTACCCATAAAACTTTCCAAATTTCATCAACAAGTTTTGTTAAATTGGAAATTAATGTTTAAAAATAACTTTAGTCCCCACAACGTTACATTGTGGAATAATAGGGTGATATTGAATCGGGGGAAATCTATGTTTGTGGAAGAATGGATGACAAAATAAATTTGGTCTGTGACACATAATGGATGGAAATGGAGATATACTTGAATTAAACAGGCATAATGAGAAATATGACATGAGTTGCTCGTTCGAGTTCTATAAAAAGGTTTCACAGAATATCCCAATAGTCCTTGTAAATACGATAAAGAACAATTTTTCAAATATACCGACTCCAAATTTACATAAAATTAAACTAGATGGACTTGACTTGGTTAATGAAACATGCAATAATCAATTTAGATTATAACAAATCTGAGATCTCGTTGATCAGAACCAAATATTTAAAATTTCCAATTCCCCCAAATTTAAAGAAGTCCATTTTAGAACTACAAAAAATATTTACCCCTCCAATGAATTGATGAGAGACAGATTTAAATTTGTGTTAGACAACTGTTATATTTGTAAAACAACTTTGGAAACAACAGAGCACATGTTCTATGGATGGGTGACAATCCAGAATTTATGGAAATCTCTCCATGTCCTAATATTGTCCCAGTATGGA